CCCCCCGTCACCCACAGCAGGTCCCACCTTGGCCCTCGCAGCCCCCTGTCCTGCTCTGAGAGGGCTCGGGGACCCCCACCTGTGTGGGTGAGGGCTCCACCTAAGGGTCTCTGGAAATGAGCTGCCCAGGGAGTGTCCCTCTGTCCTCTCCTCCCCCGTCAGCCCAGCCATCGTCCCTGTATTACAGGCCAGGCCTGGGCACCCAACGCCGCAATCCGGGCCCCTGTCATCTTCAAGTCACACACGCTCCCATCTGGTTAGGGACCCGGGTCCCCATAACTACGCAGGGGTGTTGGCTTTCAGTGGAAACCCCACAGGTTGTGTGTGGAGCCAGCAGGAGTGGAGATGCTAAAGGGGTGTTTCCAAATCTTTGCTGTCTCCATAATATTGCGGCTTCCTCTTCTAAGATGAACCCCCAGGCCCGGAGGATAAAAATCACATGTGCCTACTCCTGCTGGCCTCTGCTTTTCACTCTGTGCAAGGCCACAGTCACTGGGAGCAGCAGAATTGGCCAGAGAGGGCTGGACCGGGAGCAGGTCTAGGACAAGCCACTTGCCAGGGCCCCAGAAAGTGAGAAGTGAAAGTGCCCATGTAGGTCATGGCCAGGCAGCGCCCCCTTGTTCCGATGAGAAAGATTCTCAGAGTTCACCTCCAGGAGAGCTGATTTCTAATGAGAAGCCCGTTACATTTAAGTGGGTTCTCCCTGCGTGGGTGAAGTGGAATTTCTCTCATGCAATCAAGGAACTTCTTTGTCTTTCCCCCAGCCCCCTGCCCTTTAGTTGGGTTATGATGTGCCTTGGTGTGGATGTCTTTGGATTTATCCTATTTGGGTTAAACGGTTTCATGAGTGTGCAGGGGTATGACTATTGCCAAATTTGGGGAAGTTTCAGCCATTATTTCTTGAGTAGTTTAAGTCTCATCCTGTGCTTCTAGGACTCTGATCACATGAATGGAACAGCTTTTGTTACAGTCCCACAGGTTCTGGAGTCTCCGTTCACTTTCTTTCCCAGTTTATTTCCTCCCTGCTGTTCAGACTAATTTCTTTTGTTTTGTCTTTATATTCATTATTTTCTTTTATCCCCTTGGTTCTGCTGTTGAGCCCGTGCAGGCATGGGGCCTTTCAATAATTGTGTGTTTTTCAGATCAAAAATTTCCAATGTGTTCTTTTTTTTTTATATATATATCTTCTGTTTCTTTGCTGAGACTTTCTCTTGTTTGAGATTCACTTTAAGCCTGTTTGTAATTGCTCATCACACCATTTTTATCACGGCTGCTTTATAATCCCTGTCATAGAGTTCCAACGCCTGTGTCAGCTGGGTGTTGGCATCTGTTACCAACGGTCTTTTCTCACCCAGGATGGGATTTTCCTGGTTCTCATTATGATGAGTGATTTTTTTTTTTTTTTTAATTAAAACCTAGACATGTTGTGTATTATGTCGTGAGGGTCTGGATCTTCTGTTATAGAAGGCATTTTCTGACACGTGGCTGGTTACTAACTCATTATTCAGGTGGAAGGGACAGCCCAGGTACCCTGCGTGGCCTCCTTTGACACCAACTGTGTCATTTCTGGGGCCTGAACAGTCTCAGCATGTCTGCTGCCTCTTTCTACCGTTTGGAGTATTCTTATGTTTGATGTGTATGTGAGGACCAGGAGTTTTACTGAGCTTTATGGGGGGATAGGGAGACATATGCTTACTTCCCTTTGCTCTAACACTGGGGGTCTGAAATGCAATTGATTTTTTATGTATTAATAATGTATCCAGTGACTTTGGGAAACTCCTTTTCCAATTAGAAAGATAGATCTTTATACTATTTGTTACTTTCCATGTACATAATTTGTAATCTGTGAGTAATACATTATTACATCCCTTCAACGATTATCACCATTTCCCCCCTTTATTTACTTGGTTGGTTCTCCCAGTGTTGCATAGAACTGGCCATAGCAGGTATTCTTGTCACAGTACCAATTGCAGGAAAAATGACTTCAAGTTTTACCTTGAAAAATGACTTCTTGCCTTGGCCAGTGTGGATCAGTGGTTAGAGTGTTGATCTGCACACCGAAGGGTCACAGGTTCGATTCCCGGTCGAGGGTATGTAACTGGATTGCAGGTCCTCTCCCTGCCCTCGGCAACCAATCAATGTGTCTCTCTCACATCTCTCTCTCTCTCTCCTCTTCCCCTCCCTTCCTTCTACTCCCTCTGAAAAGCAATGGAAAAAATATCCTCAGATGAAGATTAATCAAAAGAAATTATTTCTTTTATAAATATTTTAAAAGATACTTTGATAATTGATAGAAAATGTCCTTTTATTTCTGAGGAGTTTTTTAATTTATAAATTGGTGCTGTATTTTTTTTTTTTAAATCCCCCCCCCAAGCTGTATTTTTAACAAAAGTTTTGCCTCCATTGACATGATCTTTTTTTCCCTATTTCTCCTTTTAATGTTTAAATTGTATTGATTGATTTTTTAAATATGAAGCCCACCATGCACTCTGAAAACACATACCTGCATGGTCATGATAGATTATCCATTTTATGTATTCATGAATCTTGTCTGAGTATTTTGTTTAGGACTCTACACCTAAGTTCCTGTGCTGTTCTCATTTTTGTTTGGATTTGCTATTAATTTATTTCTGGCCTGATAAACTGTGTTGGGGGGATATGCCTTCCTTCTCTATTCTCAGGAGAAGCTTGTGTAAGTTTGGTGTGTGCATGTATGTGTGTGGATGTTTGTGTGCATGTCTGTGTGTGTCCACGTACGAATATGTGTATGTATTCATACATGCATACGTGTTCAGAAGCATTTACCAGTAATGTTTTTCAGACGCCAAGTTCACTCTGCAGGAAATTTTAAATTACACATTCAATATATTTAACATACACAACAGTTCAGTCTCAGATTTACACACATATGAGTGAAATCATGTCTCTGTTGTTTTCTGACTTACTTCACTTAGCTGGATATTCTCAAGATCCATCCACATTGTTCCAAATGGCAGAATTTCATCTTTTTTATGGCCAAGTAATAATTCCATTGTCTATGTTACCACATCTTTATATCCCGCCATCTGCTGAACGACACTTATGTCTTCACCATTTCTTTTCTAATATATTCATTCATGGTTCTTAATGTTCCATTTCATAGGTTTGATGTGTAATATTTACATTACCATCTATTTAAAGCATTCTCTCACTTCCATTTTGCTTCTAAATTCACACATTGATTATTGAGAAGTCTGTTGCTTTATTTCCAAAATATAGGGATATTGGTTATCTCTGACTGTAGAATCAGGTGACTCCCAGAGGGTCCCAGGAGCTGCTGGGGGTCCACTTCCACTCTCCAGGCTCCCTGGGTCACTACTTGAGGGTCCATGGGAGAAGCTCCCCTGCCTTCTGGGGTCCCTGCAGGCCCCCTCCCTGGAGTGTGGGGTCTGGGTCCTTGCTGGGCTAGTGGGTGGCCAGAGCAGCATACACACTGGGCTCATCTGGGGGCTCCTCTGACGGGGAGGAAGGGGGTACACTTGTCTCCCGTCTGAGAGCCAAGAGGCTCAGCTGGGCGTAGGTCACCTCCTGGGGGGTGTCGGATGCAGCAGCCTGGAGCAGGGGGAGAGACAGGGATGAAACCTGGTTAGGGTTCAGGGAAAGCCTGGTTGTCTAAAGAGGATGGGACTCACCTGACTGTCCATCTGCCTGTCCCCTTCTGCTTGTCTGCCCTTCGTGTCCAGCAATCCCCCTGACAGAGAGGAAGGCGAGGTGGCCACTCCCTGCCTGAGTCTGGATCCTGAGTGGTTCCCCTGGGCGTCCATCCCTCCCTGGGGGTCTGCGTCCTGCCTGTTCTGCTGGAGAGAGTGAGACAAACAGCGTCTCCTGGACTCCACTGTTGAAATCCTCCAGCAGTTATCACATGTGGCCAGGTGATGATTTTCACTTCAAAGAGATGAGGTCACTCTCCCGATGGAATCTGCAGGGACTCCCTAGGCCTTGGGGCCTCTGGATGCTTCTAGGATCTGACTCTTACCCTAACACCATCTCTTGCTCACTTGGCTCCAGCCTCATGGCCCATCTTCCTGAGAAGCGTGTCCTGCCTCAGGGCACTTGCCCCTGCTGTTCCCTGTGTCCCCTGCATGCACTCTGTCCCCTCCTCCTGCCTTACTTTCCGTCACAGCACTTTGCCCTCTAGGACACTGTCTGCTTGTTTGCATGGTGTCTCCACCCACAGGTGAGCCCGAGGAGGGTGGAGGCTGTTGCTCAGAGCTGCACAGTGGCTCCTGAGTGGAGCCGGTAAACAGGGAGCCCGTCCCATCTGCTGGGTGAATGAATGAAGGGGAGGCTGGGACCTGCAGGTGATTCACTTATTCAGGCCTCCTCCTGAGACCTGGGCTGCACAAGGTCAGACAGAGGACGAGGGGCCAGCAGAGGGGACCATGCAGGAGGGGCTGTGAGGTCACAGGAAACCAGGAGGAGTGATGCACAGCAGGATGACCTGGGTGCCCAGGAGAGGTCAGGGTGGACACTGCTGAGAACCAGGTGAGGTGGGGACAGGGAGGGTCCTTTGGATTAAACTGGGCAACAGAAGGTCCTTGGCCTGGACAGGAGCAGGGGTCTCACCTGAGGGTCCAGCTCCACACTCTCCCCAGGCTCTGGGTCCTTCATGGCAGCATCTGTTGGGGCAGAACAGGGGGGTGTCTCCTGGCAGGGCCCCTGAGATCTCAGGGCTGCAGACCCCCCAGCTCCCAGGTGGGACACTAACCCAGGGCTGAGCNAGCAGGAGCAGCAGAGCCCAGAACTGGACCAGGTCTCACCCCCCCTTGATGCCTCCTCTGAGCTGAGCCTGAGCTGAGGGAAGGCCCTGGATGCCCCGGACCCTTGTCCTGCCTGTCCCTCCCTGTACAGTGTCATAGTCTCTGCCACAGAGGGGACAGTCCCCCTAACATCACGTCCTGGGGGTTCCCTGTGAGGCCCCCTCTCCCAGGGGGTCAGGGTCTGAACTGACAGGAAACCTGAATCTGGGCCACGATTGTCTCCTTTACACTTGGGGACACTGAGGCCCAGACGGGGAGGGGCATGTCCAAGTCAGCGACTCCAGAGGTGCCTGGACCCCCACATGACTCAGCCCCTGTCCCCCATGGATGCACCCACCACCTCCCCACAGAGCCCCTCACTTACCCCTCTGCTTGTCTGACTCCGTGGTGGGGAGGGGCCGATCCTCAGAGTCTCCTGGGAATCAGGATGGGGATTGGGGGTGGCCTCCCTACTTCAGCCAACTTAGGCTCTTCCGAGGCTGGGCCCCAACATCTCCCTCTGCCATAACCACCCACCTGTCACCCACTGGCCTCAGAGGCCCTGGAGCCCCGCGGTTCCCCTGGAGTCTCTGCCCGACTCCCAGCCCCCCTGGGACACAAGCTTGTCCTTAAGTGTCTGGGGGACATTAGATCCTCTGAGGGACTCAGAACGGCCCTGGGGTGCTCTGTGCCCCTCTGAGCAGAGAGGACCCGGTGGCTCATCAGCTGTGGAGATGGACCCTGTGGGTGGGGCGGGGGTCCCAGAGGGTCCGGGGAAGGAGGACTGAAGGGGTGAGAGCCTGGGGCTGAGCCTGGAGTCCCCACCCCACTCTCACTCCTCCTATTTCTGTGCTTGGCCCCCGGAGACCCTCCCACTGCCCACCTGCCACCTTCTGTGCCCAGCTTAGGGGAGGGGTAGACAGGTGTAGGAGGGTCTCTAAGGGCAGATGGCTCCTGGTGACCATCCCTAGAGCTCCTCACTCCCTTTTCAGCCCATAATTCTTCTGGGGACAGGACCAGGAGCTGACAGCTCAGAAAGACGGGGTCAGGGCCCCTCACCTGAGACCAGGAGCTCCAGGGGGTCACTGGGCTGGGACAGCAGGTGGGGGTTGGTGCTGACTGAGCTGTAGCACCTGTAGGTCCCCCCGTGGGCCGAGGTCACAGGACTCATGGGGAACTCTGCCTGGGATGGCTGAGCTCCGTGCTTTGATCTAAGACGCAGGGGGGGATCGGCTGTCCCCTCCTTGGACAGAAGGAAAGTGTCCCTCGGGCTCTGTGACCGACACAGCAGGGTCACGTTGTCTCCTGAGGCCACCCTGGGGCCTGGCTGCACCGAGAGGGCGGGTCTGTCAGGCAGGTGCCCTGGAGAGAGGGAGGGAGGGTGAGGGCCGCCTGCCCCCCTTGCTCTGACCTGACAGTCCCCAGGCCTCTCTCTGAGGACCCTCCTCTCTGTCTGTCTCTGTCCCCTCTGAGTCACCGTCCCCTCCCATCCCCTGTCTCTGTCCCTCCCTGGGCCCTGCACTTTCTTTCTGGCCTCAGCACCTGGACCCCCAGCATGGCCTGTGCAGAGCCTGGGTCCCTGACTGAACCCGCTGGCTCCTCACCTGCCACCAGGATGTCCAGGGGGTCACTGGGGGCCGACCACTCAGAGGAGAGCCTGTGTCCACCATAGCATCTGTACCGGCCCCCGGGGGAGCTGCTCACAGTGTCCAGGGGGAAGCTGGCCTGCGAGAGCCCAGCCTGGGGCTGCAGGACAATGCTCTGGGGCAGGTCCTGTCCCCCCTCCTTGGACAGAGCGAATCTGTCATAGCCGACATCAGAGCGACACTGGAGGGTCAGGCTCTGCCCAGAGGCCACGATGGGGCCCTGCTGGGTCAGGAGGGTCGGCTTCTGAGACTCACCTGGAGAGACCGGACCTGAATTACAGGGGCCGCTCCTCCCATAAGCCCCCTTCTGTCCGGGCCCCCGGGTCTCACTGTCTCTGTGTCTCTGACCCAGGAGCCCCTGTGCTCCCCTCCCCTCATCCTCTCACATGGGGCTCCCCTCCCAGCAAGGATGCCCAGAACCTGGCTGACATCTCAGTCCATGGATGGGACAGTAATGGGACTCACCTGGGACCAGAAGCTCCAGAGGGTCACTGGGCTGTGAGCACACCTGACGCCTGTACCTGTCACACCCGTAGCATCTGAAGGTCCACCTGTGGCTGGGGGTCACGGGGCCCACGGGGAACAGGGCCTGGAGCTTCCCACTGGGCTGTGGCTGTGAGTCCCGGGTCCAGGGGGGCTTGTGGTCTCCTTCCTTAGTGAGAATGAACCTGCCAAATCCCTGCCATGAGCCACACTGGAGGGTCACCTTCCCTCCTGAGGCCACCAAAGGGCTGGGCAGGGCCGAGAGGCTGGGTTTGCTGTAGGCTCCTAGGAGAGGGGGAGACAGTGTGTTAGATGGGGTCACACCTCCCTCACGTCCCCCAGGCCTGGGCTGTGGGAGGGGGACACCCTGAGAGCAGACCCCCTTCCTGAGGGCAGAGCCTGAGGCTGGGACCCCTGAGTGTCCTCTCACCTGTCACCACCAGCTCCAGGGAGTCACTGGGCTCTGACCTGCCCTGGGGGCTGAGATAGTAACAGCGATATGTCCCTGCATGTAGCTCTGTCATCTGTGTGATGGGGAACTTGGCCTTGTCCCCGGGATCCAGTGGCTTCTGTCTGTTCCAGGGCAGTTGGCTTCCCTCTTTAACCAGCTGATACTCCCAAACCCCTCGGGTCCCCCAACACCAGATGGTCACAGGGCTCCCCCAGCGGATCACAGAGCCTGGCTCAGCCCAGAGGGTGGGCTTGGGCAGGGGACCTGGAAGGAATCAGAGGCTGGGTCACAAGACATTCCCTCCCCATCCCCAGCGGTCAGCACACGGTCCCTCCCCGTCCCCCAGCGGTCAGCTCAGAGCTGCTGTCCTCGTTTCCCAGCTGCCTGGGGGGGGGGGTGTCTTGTCCCCGGGAAGTGGGTCCTGGACAGCTGGGGACACACTCACCTGCCTGCACTGGGGTCCTCGGGCCCACACTCAGCCCTGGAAGAGAGACCCTGTGAGACATTTGCCCTGATCCTGAGCAGAGCCCCTCCCGGGAGCCTCCTGAGGCCGGGGCTCAGTCAGGGCAGCGCCTGGCTGTGGGCAGGGTCCCTCCCCGCCCAGGGCCCCTCCCTNAGATAGTAACAGCGATATCTCCCTGCATGTAGCTCTGTCATCTGTGTGATGGGGAACTTGGCCTTGTCCCCGGGATCCAGTGGCTTCTTTGTGAGCCAGGCCACTGGGCTTCCCTCTTTAACCAGCTGATACTCCCGAGCCCCTCGGGTCCCCTGACACCAGATGGTCACAGGGCTCCCCCAGCGGATCACAGACCCTGGCTCAGCCCAGAGGGTGGGCTTGGGCAGGGGACCTGGAAGGAATCAGAGGCTGGGTCACAAGACATTCCCCCCCCATCCCCAGCGGTCAGCACACGGTCCCTCCCCGTCCCCCAGCGGTCAGCTCAGAGCTGCTGTCCTCGTTTCCCAGCTGCCTGGGGGGGGGGGTGTCTTGTCCCCGGGAAGTGGGTCCTGGACAGCTGGGGACACACTCACCTGCCTGCACTGGGGTCCTCAGGCCCACACTCAGCCCTGGAAGAGAGACCCTGTGAGACATTTGCCCTGATCCTGAGCAGAGCCCCTCCCGGGAGCCTCCTGAGGCCGGGGCTCAGTCAGGGCAGCGCCTGGCTGTGGGCAGGGTCCCTCCCCGCCCAGGGCCCCTCCCTCAGAACCTCACCGAGGCAGAGCAGGGCCGCGAGGGTGGGGGCCATGGGGTCCCCTCTCGGCTCCAGCTGTGCAGAGGGCGGCCAGTGTCCTCAGCACAGACAGGCCGGCAGGGTGTGGCCACTGGACGCTGCTGGTCTCTGTCAGGGGGTTGTCACAGCAGCCGGCAGGGCCTCAGAAAGAGGAACCGTCTCTGCAGGCGCCAGGCTGTTGTCCCCGATGCAGCAGGAATAGGCCCCGGGCCTCCTGAGACGCCCCTTCCCGGGGGCCCAGGGCCCGTCCTTCCCTGTCAGAGCCCCCGCCGGGCCCTCCCGCACCCTCAGCCCCGCCCCCCGCCCCTCCCCGTGGGGTCCTCAGCTCGGACAGTGTCACCCGGGCCCTGGAGAAGCTTCAGGAAGACGCGGGTCCCTGTGGCCTGCGGGGCTCAGATCAGCAGGGACATGTTCACCCTCAAACTGCAGTTCAGGGCGAGGGTCCCTGTGACACTGAGCTCAGAGGGGAAATGCAGAAATATAAGGGAAGGAAACACGCCCCTTCTCCTGGGTCCCAGGGCATGAGAGTGTGGCTTTCTTTCTATCTTACCTGCCCTCAAGAACTTTTCTACTTCCTGGGGACATTCTCTGAGTCACTCCTGCCTCCTCAGTGCCCCTTGTTTCCTGGGTTAAAGTCTCCTCCACATCCTTTGGTCCTGCCTTTGAGCTTTAGGGGACATTGATTTGGGTGAGCATTCTGATTATGACTTAGAACAGATATTTATTTAAATACCCATCACCCAATGCCTGTGTAACCTTGAGGGCTAATGCCCTATGTCTGGGCCTCAGTTTCCTCATTTGGATCATGTTGACATGAACCCCACTCCGCAGAGTGGCTGTGGGTAGGGGTGCTGGGCTCACGGGAGGGAGGCATATTTCAGAAGAGATGAGGACCTGAGTGGTTAGGACTTGCGAGGGTAAGGTGTCCACAGTCAAGAGCAGGGTGGTTGCACCCCCCGAGACCTTGTCTGCTCTGAATTCCAAGGAAAGCTACTTATAATAGTTCTAAAACTTTAGGCACAGGCAAGTGCCGAAAAAGAGAAATGCAAGTTCCCCAAAGGGAGAGGAAACCACAGTGGAGAACAGAGACGGATGCTGAGTGGCTACCAGTCCCGGGCCCATCAACAGGTCATAGGGAGGAGGGTCCCAGCTGCGTGGACACGGAGAGAGACCCCAGGCCCTCGCAGGAAGGGAGCGGTCGGGGTCCAGGTGAAGGCTGGAAGTTCTGGCCCCTGCCCTGTGTTTCTACCTGGGCACTGGGATATCTCAGCCCACTGGCCAAGCCCGTGGTCAGCAGCGAGCAGCCTCGCCTGTGTGGCCTGAGGCATCAAGTCCGGCCTCGTGGCATGGAGCCTGTCCCGTGCGCGTGAGGCGCCCATCGCACCGGCCCCGACGGGCGCAGCGCTGAGCCGATGCCGAGCCCGAGGCGTGAGGCGCCCATCGCACCGGCCCCGACGGGCGCAGCGCTGAGCCGATGCCGAGCCCGAGGCGTGAGGCGCCCATCGCACCGGCCCCGACGGGCGCAGCGCTGAGCCGATGCCGAGCCCGAGGCGTGAGGCGCCCATCGCACCGGCCCCGACGGGCGCAGCGCTGAGCCGATGCCGAGCCCGAGGCGTGAGGCGCCCATCGCACCGGCCCCGACGGGCGCAGCGCTGAGCCGATGCCGAGCCCGAGGCGTGAGGCGCCCATCGCACCGGCCCCGACGGGCGCAGCGCTGAGCCGATGCCGAGCCCGAGGCGTGAGGCGCCCATCGCACCGGCCCCGACGGGCGCAGCGCTGAGCCGATGCCGAGCCCGAGGCGTGAGGCGCCCATCGCACCGGCCCCGACGGGCACAGCTCTGAGCCGATGCGGAGCCCGAGAGTGGTCGCCACGGCCCCTCGTCAGCCTCACTCCCGGGCCGGCCCTCGGGAGAAACCTGCGGAAGATCAGGCGTCTGAGGGGAGAGATTCCGCCAGGAATGGACAACAGGGCAACCCAAACGGTGACAGACAGCGCTATGGACAGCACTCTACTGACGACGGGGACTGTCATAGGCAATGAAATAGAGTCCCTAGGACAATATGAGAGCAATTTGAGTTTAATTGTGTTTAAATATCTGAAAAATAGCCCTGGCCGACTTTGCTCAGTGGTTAGAGCGCCAGCCAGGGGACTGAAAGGTCCCAGGTTTGATTCCGGCCGAGGGCATGTACCTCGCTTGCAGGCCCAGCCCTGGGTTGGGGTGCCTGCTGAGGCACCAATCAATGTGTCTCACATCAATTTCCCTCCCT